GGAGGACCTCCGTTTCACAGAAGAAGATGTAAGGAATGAACTTCTTGCGCTTTGTACACACTAAACGCCTCCTCCTTTCCCCAACACTTTTCTTCGTCTTCCACAGCTCTTAAATGTCTGCCAAGAAGGAGAAGGCAGCGACAAAACTCGCCTCCCTCACTTATGATATCGACGATGGGCAGGAGGAGTTGTCAGTCGATCCCATCCAACTCAATACAACCCTTCTCACCTTCCGACCCACCGTCAAGAAGGCGCGGCTGCACGTTCTACGCGAACTGGCCATCTACATTAAACGACTGAAGCAAAAGCAGTCAGTTATTGCAGACAGCAAAAAAACGCGTATTGGGAAGAAAATTTTGGGCCGACTCTCAGAACTGCGTCTACTGAAGAAGATGAATACCATCCGGCTGTGCAAGCTCCTCTTGGCCAATATTTCAACCCCCGAGGAGGTAAGTTAGTTGTCATTTCCCACAGGAATCAGTAACTTGTCCGGATTTTGAAAAAGTTCTGCCTTGCTTGAATCGTGGTTTTCAGTACCCCTTTGATCGGTAGTAGAGATCTAATAGCCAACTAGCCGTGGGACCTGCCGGACAAAAGTTGTCGGAGGTAGTTTACTGGATTGTGAGTTCAAATTTTGCTGTCTCAATCTACTCCCCGTTCCTGTTGGATGTCGGGTAAAGCTTATTAGGTTATGGACGATATTCGCCATGCATCAACACAGCTATGACTTGTAGTCTCATTCACTATGTCAGTTGCCAGTTACGTTTGATCAGACCTAAGGACCGGTTTATTTCACAACTGGTCATTGCTAGAAGCGCCGCAGAAGCACTTCGCGGTCCCCAGCTGGTCTCGCTTTTCCAGGGTTCCTTTCAGCATGTACATTCATCGCATAAATCTTTCGAGGCATTACTACTGTTTGCCAACATCAGTAGTAGCGTGTTAACTGTTCTAGTCGCTTCTGTGCGCTCCATGTCACGCAATAGGTGTTCAATCTCGTCAGTTCGGACATTCTATCGGTGCACGGGAGAGGGAATAGAGTAAGACCAAAACTAACGAGTCCATCCTCAGGACAAATCCGCGCATTATGAAGTGTAACATAGGTGACGGCC